TGGCTCTTGGAGCCAATATGAGCTGGCTGTAGCATGCCCCTGGAGGCAACTGTAGTCTCAATCCTTCCAGACTCAGGTCAGTTCCCGCCTTCCCCATGAACTTCCCCATGGCCCGCACATTTATCTCTCCTTTGACTTCCACAGTACTTATTTCCTGCATCACAAAATAATCATAATCATGACAATAATAATTTTTTTTTTTTTTTAGTGAGGCAATTGGGGTTAAGTGACTTGCCCAGGGTCACACAGCTAGTAAGTGTTATGTGTCTGAGGCTGGATTTGAACTCAGGTCCTCCTGACTTCAGGGCTGGTGCTCTACCACTACGCCACCTAGCTGCCCCAACAATAATAAATTTACAATGATGTTTTTAATAGCTGTCGCTATGCTGAATAGTCATGAAATGAAACTTTCAAAATATAAAGACCTAGCAGACTTTAGGCAGCTAGATGGTACAGTGCATAAAGAACTGAACTCAGGAAGACCTGAGTTCAAATTCAGTCTCAGATACTTACTATCTGTGTAACCTTGAACAAGTCACTTAATTTCTGTCTGCCTTAGTTTTCTCATCTGTCAAAAGGGTATAACAATAGCATCTCTCTCCCAGGGTTGTTGTGAAGATCAAATGAGATAATATTTAAAAAGAGCCTGGCACAGAGTAGGTTCTTAATAAATGCAAGCTATTATTATTTTAGTAGTAGAAGAAATCAGAACCTTGTGGCAACTGAATGAGGCCCATAATATCTTGTCTATTCCTGGGGTTATCACAAAGATGTTTTCAGTGAATCTAGAGAGGATGAGCTTACATCTGAACATCAATATTCAATTACAATAAGCAGCCATTTTATCCACCTGGGAAATAGCAAAATATTAAATAGAAAAGGTTTGGGGAAGGGAGGCAGTACAGCACAGTGGGTAGAGAACTGACCTTGGAATCAGAAAGTCAACCCTGACCCTGAAGGGTCAGTCAGTCAATCAGTGCCTATGGCCAGGCACAGTGCTAAGTGCTGAGGACACAAAGAAAGCCAAAAAACTGTCTCTGCCCTCAAGGGACTTGAAGTATGGGGAAGGCACCATGCAAACAACTATGTATAAATGAGATATACACGGGAGAAATCAGAGATAATCTCAGACGGTAGGCACTACAATGAAGAGGGATTGGGAATGGCTTCTTATAGAAGGTGAGACTTTAGCTGAGACTTGAAGTCTTCCCCTTGAAGGAAGCCAAGAGGCAGAGTAGAGGAGGGAGACTATTTCCCGCATGAGGGCCAGCCAGCGTAGAAGTTAGGAGATGGTGGATTCTGGGAGAGTAATAGTAAAGAGGCCCACGTCATTGCATCATAGAGTGTTTAGAGGAGAATAAAGTAGAAAAACACTGGAAAGGTAGGAAGGAGCCAGGTTAGGAAGGGCTTTAAAAGCCACACAGAGATTTTCTACTTGACCTGAAGGTGATAGGGAGCCACTGGAGTTTATTAAATAGGAGAGTGACATGGTCAGATCTGTACATTAGGAAGGTCAATTTGATACCTGAGTGGAGAATGGATTGGAATGAAGATAGATGAGGTGGGGGAACAATCGGGAGACTATTGCAGTACATTAGATGTGAGAGCTACATCAGAGTGGCCGCAGTGTCAGAGCAGAGAACGGGGTATGTGTGTATGTGTGTATGTGTATATATCTCTCTGTATCTGTTTATATCATCCCTCTCTTTCCCTCTCCCTCTCTCTCTCCATATATATATATGTATATATATATATACACACATATGTATATATATACACATATGTATATATACATATATATATACATATATATACATATGTATATATATACATATATATATATACATATATATGTTGCATAAGTAGAAATTACAGGGCTTTGCAACTGATTGGATAGAGGGGCTGAGAGAAAATGAAAGGTAGAGGATGACACCTAGGTTTTGAACCTGGGTGACCGGGAGGATGGTGGTATTCTTGACAGTATTTTTGACAGTAATAAGGACATTTGGAAGAGGGGAGGGTTTGGGGAAAGGTAATGAGTTTAGTTTTGAATATGTTGAGTTTTGAGGTATCTATAGGACATCCAGTTTGAGATGTTCAATAGGCAGCTGGAGATGCCAGACTGGAGGTCAGGAAAAAGGTTTAGGCTGGATAAATGGATCTGAGAATGTGATGATTAAATCAATGAGAGATCATCAAGTAAAATAATATATAGTCAGAGAAGAGAAGAGGACCTGGGATCGAACCCTGTGTGTGTGTGTGTGTGTGTGTGTGTGTGTGTGTGTGTGTGTGTGAACATATACATTTAATGGGCTTGACCTTGATGAAGATACAGGAAAGGAGACTGAGAAGGAACAGACAGGTAGGAGGAGAACCAAAAGAGAGCAGTGCCCCAAAAACTCAGAGAGAAGAGAGTATCTAGGAGGGTGACGGACACTATCAGAGGCTGTGCAGAGGTCAAGGAGGATGAGGACTGAAAAGAGGCCATGAGATTTAACAATTAAGAGATCATTAGTAACTTTGGAGAAGGCAGTTTCAGTTAAATGATGACAGCTTAAATCAGGCCTCTGGCATGTACTGGCTGTATGAACTTGGATAGGTCACTTAACTTGCCAGTGCTCTAGGTGACTGTTTAAATTGCAGAGTAGGTGCCCCCTTGAACTGGTAGAATGAGCTTTCTTACTCAGGAGTTCCTTATGTTAATGAAATCACAGATTTGGTTCAAAACAAACAAACAAAAATCCACTTCCAGATAAAGAACTGATGAACTCTGAGTGCACATTGAAGCTTATTTTTTCTCTTTATTTTTCTTCCTTTTTTTTTTGTAATATAGCTAATGTGGAAGTATGTTTTGCATGACTTCATATATATAATGGGCATCATATTTCTTGCCTTCTTAGTGAGTGGGGGAGGGAGAAAATTTGGAACTGAAAATAAAAATAAAAAAAATCCTACTCTTTCTCTAGCTAAACTTTGTCAGTAAGCACATTTTGTGAAATGTTAGGGAAATTTTATTTTCTTTGAATTGTGTCTCTACTGTCAATCTGTGTTTCTAAAATATTTCATTTTTCAAACAAAAACAAACAAACAAAAATAGCTGGATAACTTGCTTCTTTCTTAACCCCATCAAAAATGAGAAGACCTGGGTAATAATAAAAATCTTCTCAATTATATTCTGGCTTATATTGTCGTCTGATTTTCACCTATCAGTCTTGTTTCTTCAACTACATGGTAATATTTTTGAGAACAGAAACTGCTGTATATATCTTTTCAAAAAATTCTCTACAGTTTAGTGATGAACACAAATGAGATAATGTTATGTTTAAGTACTTTGTAAACTACAAAGTTCTATAGCTGCCCAGGACAAAGAATAAACATATTTAAACACATAGAACCTTCTTTCGGACTGTATTCCACAACTGACTTCCTCGGACTGAAGGGAGGTATCATCCCGGAAAGCAGGTGATCTTGGACCCCACGTTAATAACCTGTGGACTAGATTATTAACAAGGCTCTGAACAGTCTTATTAATTTATTAATTTTAATTTGCAACATTCACTTCCACAAAATTTTGAGTTCCAAATTTTCTCCCCATCTCGCCCCTCCCCTCACCCTAAGATGGCATGCATTCTGAATACCCCTTCCCCTAATCTGCCCTCCCTTCTATCTCTCCCCCCCTTCTCTTATTCCCTTCCCCTTCTATTTTCTGGACAGTCTTAACATCCAGTGGTCCTAAATCTCTTCCTTCCTGTGGACCTCTCAAAACATGAGTTCAGTAAGTTTATCTTTGTTACAAAAGTAGAATTTTCTTTAGAAAGTTATCTTTTCTAAGCTTCCCTGTATGTTAAGGGAGATAACAAAGTTTACATGATGAATGGAAAAATGTAGGAGCTCAGAATGTCAGCAATCTAAGCAAGTGTAGTATGAGCCTTGTTACACAAAGGGAAACTGAGGTACTTGAATGAGAAAGGATTCAACATCACAGTAAATCAGAGCTACGAGGGGTTTTTAGAGTCCGACTAGAAACACTCCTGTTGTTGAGGAGGAAATGGAGATTCATAGCGAAAGAAAAAGAATGAACATCACAGCATGTCTGAGCTTTAGTGCTCATAGAGACCAGGTACTCCCATCATCTTCGGTTAAAAAGGGAGCAACTGAGATATAGACCAGGGAAGGGATTTAGGGGCAAGATGTCAGAGTGGAAAGAGGCTTTAGAGACAGTTCAACCTAGTCCTGCTACAGTGGAGAGAAATCGAGGCCAAGAGAAGGGTTTAAAAGTCTTAGGACCACAGAATGTTAGAGCTCTAAAGGGGGAGATTAAAATACAGAAGAAAGGATTTAGGGTATTAGGATGCTGGACCGTAAGAGCCCTTAACAGCCATAGCTGGAATTAAAATCTCCACGAGGGTTTCCTTTCTTACAGGTTAAGTCTAAATTATGGGGCTTTCAAGTTTTCATGTTTCTCTACAGGACCATGTTGCTAATAGATGTTTAAAGGACATCTTCTGCCTGGACTGTTTCCATAATTTTTTTTGGCTAGACACTAGCCTAAGCAGCTCGGTAGAGGGGCGGGAAGCACTGGGAGCCAGTCGGCTCCACTTGTGTTGAAAGGGGGAAACTGAGGCATGGAGCGAGGAAGATTGAGACCCTGCACAATGATTGCCCCCACTGTGCGCAGCTGCACATGTGGCAGACGCAGCTCGAGGCTGGGTTCCCACCACAAGCTCCCTTGGGACTGGGAGAAACGGAGGGAGGCGGGGTGGGCGGACCGGCGAGCGTGGGAGACACTGCGGCTTTCCTCGTTCCCGCTCCTTTTTTTTTCCCTGGGAGGCGGTGAGGCAGATAGCTCGCCTCCCCTGAGGAAAACCCAAGAGCGCGGGCTCGCGGCCGCGTTCGCTCGTGCCCGCCCTCGCGGGGAGGTGCGATTTTGGGCGGGGGTGGGGCCGGCTCTGGAGCCTGGTAGGCGGGGAAGGTGGTGAACGAGCGCTGCGGCTCCCAGCATGCCCCGTGGGCGGTGCTCACCTTTGACCTTCTCTCCCTCACTATACATCCGGGCTCCAGCTCTTCGAGAGAGGAAGATGGCGGCGGCGACGACGAGCGGAGCGACTTCGGTGGTTCCCTACGAGTGGATAAAAAACTGGGAGAAAGTGGGCAAGCTCGAATTGTGAGTAAACGGTGACCAGGGGATCATCGGGGCGCGATGCTGCGCCCCGAGAGTTTTTCGTGTTCGATGTGGCTTTTGGGGGGGCGGGCGGCGGGCGGCGTTTCTTCCCTCCCCCACCCCCCCCCCCCCCCCCTAGACGGCGGCTGAGGAGAATTTGTGAGGACTTTCTAAGTCCAGAGGCCTCGGTCCCCGGGTAAATCCCTGGGCCTCCGCCCCGACTTTGTAGAGGGGAGCCCGCTCCCCTCCGATTTTCAAGTCTGTCAGGCACGGCCTGGCGCTTCCCGCTCTGTGTTTTTTGGGCGAGTCGCGGAGCGCTCCCTCAGTTTGAGGCCCCAGCTCTCCATTTCCCGGTCCTCTCCTTGTCCCGCGCTCCCGCACCTCGACCCCACTTTTCCAACTCCCTACTCTCGCGTTCCCTCCCCGATTCTGCTTCCTCCCAAACTCCCTTTTGCTCCCGGTTTCCCTCCCCGGCGCCCCCATCTTCCCCTTCGATCCTTGTTCCCCCACCCCCCGCGGCCCCCTGCCGCGTTCCCCAGCTTCTAAGTCCTCATTCCCCAGGGCCCCCAGCCGAGTTTCCCCTGCTCCTGGTTCCCTCTCCCCGCACCCTCCTTTTCTTGCTGCCCCCCCCAATTTTCTTCTGTTCCTGGTCTCCCTGTGGCGCCCCCCCCCGGTCGAATGTCTTCTGCTTCTGGCTCCCCCCTCCCAGTCGAGTTTTTCCTGCTCCTGTTTCCCCCCCCTTCCCGCCGACTTTCTCCTATTTCTGGCCGCCTCCCCGCCCCCTGCCGAGTTTTCTCTGCTATTCCCCCGCCCCCC